TTCCTACTTGTACCAGCCCACCTTGTATGAGGTTTGAGCTGGTTTGAGAATGCTGTCCACATGATATTAGATTATGTCTGCAATGTTTGGTAAGGTTGTAAACGTGTGACAGGCTCACTGTTCTGTGATTAATGTTACAGTAGATATTCCATTTACTTCACACCATCCCACACAGCAGAGTACAACCAGCTGGGAGTGTTTGAAATATTTGTTCAGTAATGGCTTCTTGTTGCACAATCATGATGCATTGATCCTAAAGGTGGTTTACCGGTTATGCTAAAGAAACATCTGTCATCCTGGGTGAAAATTCAGGTTGCAGATTATATTTCTCGAAGTAGTTTTCATAACTACATTATTATGATGACATCCTTTGAATATTAAAGCTCAGGTTGTAGAGAATCTTTCTTCAGCTCTGAAAAGATCCTTTAACCTGGGAGTCACACATGACATGTCAATGAGTGTGTTGTAGAAGGGGGTCTCTTGGTGAGAGAGAGAGATCTGATGTGTACTGCTTCTTTTTTTTATCCCGTCACTCAAACCATCAGCTCCCTATGTTTCTAAATTGTATATCCAGTGTTCTACCATGCTGCCATTACTGTTGAACCTGATTCAAAAACTTCATACTTGCATGTCTTACTGTCCAAGCAGTTTTTTTTGTCTCAATCAAGCCCCCCCCCCCTTCAAGGAAAAATGACAAACTGAAATGTCTGTGGGATTAGTTATGACACACTGTATGTGTTCATTTCCAGGGAAGAGCTGCACAACTGCTGTTCCACCCAAGATGATTTCATTCTGACCCAAAAGAACACAAAAATAGGGATGACCATCCGCTATGCCATAACCAAGGGCAAAACCTTCAAGGTCAACTCTGCACTCACCAGACTGTTGCCAAAGGTGGGACTACAGCATGGAGGATATACCATATATTTTTAACTTGAGCATGTTGGACTTACTTTTGGTCATGACTTTATGTTGAAGGTATATTTTGTACTATATGTTTTGTAAAACCATGTACATATATATGTAGGATATATGTATACAGACTTTGTACGACTATGTTTATGGACTTTGTAGAACCTCGATCATTTAGACTGTGTCTTGTTATATTTTGTCTGAACCTGACCTCTTCCCTCATGATATCAACAAAATCTGACCAACAGGCCAATTGGAGTATTTCATGAATAAACAATGGCTCAAAGAAACAGTTATTCTAGAGGAAGTATGAGTGATCTGAATATGTTGCACTGTGTTAATGATATTTAATAGGAAGTTGAAATTTGAAAAAAAAAAAGATATTATTACACATTGTATAAACATGATATTTTTTCACAGACCTCTCCTTTGTCTGGGAGGAGGTTCTCCCGTTGCAGTGTTGTGGGGAATGGAGCTATCTTGTCTCAGAGCGGATGTGGGCAGGAGATTGACAAGGCAGATTATGTCTTCAGGTAAAGTCCTTTGTTTTGTCTTTCACAGCCTAATATTACAAGTTCCCTTGTAAGGTTTGACACACTTCTTAAAATGAATGCAAACAACTGTTCCCTTTTCATTTTTAAATTGAAACAACAAAAGGTGCGGAATTATTTGCATTACAATGACACATACAAAAATAGAACAAGTGCATCTTCCTTTTTTACAATGTTTTGCTGAATCATGATAATGATATGTCATAATGTCATATTTTAGAACAGTACTATGCCTATGTTAACTATTATTGTGTTGGACTTGTCACGGTCAGCATATGCATGATGCTTTGTATCATGTTGTTTACACAACACTTCAATTCTGTTTTTCATTAGGTGCAATTTACCTCCTATTGGAGGCAAGTATGCTGAGGACACAGGGTTAAGGACCAATTTTACCACTGCTAACCCCATATCTCAAATATCCTGGGTGTAAGTTTTTCTAGTTTTCTTTCTTTCATTAGGTGCAATTTGCCTCCTATTGGGGGTAAGTATGCTGAGAACACAGGGATCAGGACCAATTCTACCACTGCTAACCCCATATCTCAAATAATGTCAAAGTAAGTGTCCTGTGAGTCCATGGTGTATGCTCTCTTAATAAATATCTATGCGCATATATCCCTCTCCTTTCCACCCCTCTCCCCTCCCTCCTCTATCCCTTCCCCCTCTATCCTCTCCCCTCCCCTTCCCTCTGGCCTCTCCTCACACCACTCCCCTTCCCTCTCCTGTACTTTCCATTCCCTCTTACATTCTCTCTCAGTCTGCATGATGTGTAAACTGTCAGTGGAATGTGATTTTTCACAGCTTGACTTTGGTGCAACCCCCGGTATTTCAGCACCATGGACATATAACATGAGCAGAATCAAACTTTTCAGAAATGGGTTCATTGAGATAGCTTAAAAAACATTTTTTTGCACGACTGCACAATTTTTTCCCCTAGGAATGCATGGATATGGTGGAAAACTTGCCATTTCTACTGCAGCACAAATTTTCCCAGTGAGGCCTTTTTTCAGTATTGTAAGGGATTTTTATACATCTACATTGAAATTTATCACCTAGTAGTATATATGCCTCCATGTCCTAAAACTCCCATGTTCTGACACCCCTAGCCCTATGTTGGAACATAGGCAGTCAGAACATGGGGGCATCAGAACATAGGGGTGTCAGAATACAGGGCTATCTCCTCCACCATCACACTTGTTGAGTTCCTGTTCTTGTGACACCAACAGATACAAGGGTCTGCGGAACCAGCAGGGCAGGGACAAGTTTATGACTGACATCAAGAAGTATCCCGGCCTTCTCTGGGTCTCAGCTTTTGGAGTCAAGTCTGCTACAGGTACATTTGGGTAGTGTCTGGATCAACCAAAGCTCTTCATTCAATTTTACACTACAGGTGGATAGATGCTTCAAATCAAAAAGGTTGTTGGGAATTGAAAGCGTCACCACCTAATCCTGTTCAGTGCCTACTATTTGTACTTAAGCTCTAATTTTAGCCAAAGTTTCTAATGTCACAGATAAACTTTTACTTAAAAATAATGTTTCTATGGGTGTCCTAACTGTCTTTTATGTTTGACAGTAATCTCACAGCAAGCCCTGAAGTTTGTAACCCAGAAGAGGATCAGGAGCCCTGCCCTGGTGTTTGGGAACCCCAAACACTTCACCGACACCATGAACTTCTGGAGAGCACACAACCTGTCCAACCGGCTGTCCACTGGTGAGCAGATTTCAGTATATGACTTAGGGCTGTGTACTTAATACATGTAACATTGCTGTACCTGAACAAAGTAATACAAAAGTGGACACCATAAAGATAGGGAAACTGCACAGAATCTATAGAGTATAGCAAATAAACAGACCAAAGTGTAGGTATTCTAAAACTTCATGCCTGCTATTTCATTTCTACTGAAACTACCGGTTAGGGTGCAGACTCATTCATCATTGTATGATGCAAATGCCATTAGCATTTTTGAGCAGACTGTGCCAGAACTAACAATGCAGCTTAATTTTGCAGGACATATCATATGCAAGACTATTTCTAGAATTCCCTCAGTTTGCAATTGTATGCGTGATTGTATGTTGATCCTACAAGAAATGTGACCCCACTCTACATGTACCTCTTGCAGGGATGTACCTGTCCAGCATAGCCCTGTCTGTATGTGATCAGGTGCATATCTTTGGCTTCTGGCCATTTGACAAGGACCCTGAGGACCAGCCACTGGCATATCACTACTACGGCAAGGGCAAAGTGGACCAGGTGCACGACATGCCACAGGAGTTTCTGAAGCTGTTAGAATGGCATCAGGAAGGTGTGGTCAATGTTCACATACACAAATGTCAGGCAGACAGCTGATAGTAGTGCACATCACTGGTTTCTTGTAATCCAAGTACACAAGTTACCAGGCACAAATGAACATGTAACATTAGATGTATCCACAGTGTTCTATGTGTTGCACTTGACACCCCAGCATTGTTACAATGTACCTGTACTTAAAAATGACCCCTTTTAAGATTAGCTGGAAAAGAAAGTATTTTTGTTATTATACAGAAAGTGCTTAAAGTTATTATTAGGTACAGAGGCTAAGTAACTCAGCACAGAGAGCTTCTTTATTTTTTCAGTTTTTTTTCTTTGCTCAGTACACGCACATGTGGCGTCGTGTGGCATAGTTGTAGAGCGTTCAGTGTTTGAACAAGGGGACCCGGGTTCGATCCCGGGTCCTGTCTGAACTTGCGCCCCGACGTTGTGCCCTTGGGAAAGGCACTTTACACGTATCCCCCCTCAAATAGAGGGACCAGTTGTCTTCAGCTGGCAGACGAGAGCAGCGCCAGGCGGGCTGGCGTGATCAAGACAGTGTCAACGTGTCAAACCTCCTCACTGAATGGACTGACATGGTCATCATACTTGGATTATCTGTAACATCTGTGTCCATAATATCACCAGGGTCCATAATATCGCCACCTTGAGAAATAGTGTGCTTAAAGATATTTTACTGCAACATGCCCTAGGTATGTACATTTGATGTGTGAAGGAGTGCATACCAAAAGTATGTTGCAGTAAAAATATCTTTAAGTACACTGTTTCTCAAGGTGGCGATATTATGGACCCTGGTGATATTATGGACACTGATGTTATCTGTATATCTGTACATGAATCTGTATCTGATTGCAAATAAAGATTTGAGTGATTGCCATAGATAGACACGTACACTGTTCTCCACTTTTTGCCATCTTCCAAGGGTAAGACATGCAATTCAACACAATGCCCAGTCTATTTTTTGTACTTTGAAACAATAGTGAGAAGTGTTGGTCTGTGCTACAATCATGGGTATTGTTCAACTTGTCATTTGAAACTCTATTTTTCCATTAGAATATAGTAAAAGTATTGTAACAATTTTACATGCAATTTCAGAAATGGGTATCATGAAAGCAGTGCCTCCTAGGAGTAAGTAAGGGAGGTGCAGTTTTACACAAGTCATAATATCAGTTAGTGATATTTTTTTAATTTTCTGTAGTTTGTTTTACCGGAGAGAGAAAACCCAGACAGTTCACAATCAATCAAAACAGACTTTTGTATTGAACTGTTTGGAAAATCCAAACATAACTTTTTGATCGATAGAAACTTTGACATATCTATATTATTCAAAGTTATACTTTTACAGGAGCTTTTAAGTTGAACAGAAATATATCATATTATATGCAGATATTGTATTGTTTGTTTGTTTAAAGACACAAGTGTCAACAATTGCCAACAATGTTTTATTACATGTGCCACAAAAAGAATGAAATATATGTTTAATGAATGTAAGGCAATATGTATCCAAGTACCAAACTATAGCAGGTGGTAGAGTTTATCATTTGACATACATGTTTTACTATTTTACAGTTGGTTTTAGCTCAAGTTGCTATGCTTATCTGACTATCTAAGACCTTTGATTTGGTATGATAGACATATCCAAAGAAATGATGTCAAGTATTTCAGGTATCAAATATTTCGGATGTTTTTTAGAAACTGTGTTATACGACTGTGTGTTATAATTGGAATGTTATGAAGTAGGAGAAATGTCTGTAGGAGGAGAAAGATGGCATGTGAAGTGCCTTTCTTTGGTTTGTGGGGGTCATGCAAGATGTTGACAAGAACAGTTATCAACAGATTGCAATTTTGCATATGTTGATGTTAATGTCCACACTTTGTTAAACCGGAACTCAACTACAGTTACTGTAGTACATACTAACAAGCAGGAGTTTGTTATGTTGTTCAGAATATATTTGTGAAAAATATTATTAGTACTTACAACATGTAGCCTTGGGTACATGCATATTTCTCACTTTTTTGTGAAATCAATGTAACCCTGGCCATTGTCATATTGTTTTTTTTTTATTTATGGTAATTGAAACATCAATTTTGCAAATCTACTCTGAAGAGTTACATGAAATGGATACATTCCAGTCAATGAAGATTTTGCCACAGGTATTTGTTGGTCAACGGACTGACCACAAATTTCAGTGCAATATCTACATTTATACATTGGTATGTTTATTGCTCCTCTTGCCATGGTGCAGTTGAATAGAACGAGCTGTGCATATACTGTGCAAGTGTCATAGCATTGGATGGAATGTCTTAACATCCAACCTGCATCTACATATTAATGCTTATGTAACATTGTCACTTCCAGGATGGAAGTATTGTTTTGGGTGGTGCTTTATTAAGAGTTTGTATGTTTGGGTTCCTAAGTGAGTTGGGGGGGAGATTGAGTGATTGACAGGATTTTGACCAGGCATCCCCTGCATTCAAATATGTGGTCCTCAGGAATGTATGAAACATACTGGGTAAACCATGGTGTAATAGCACAGTCATATACCGGTATGTATGAGAAATAATGCATTCTATGATGTAGTTAATTAATGCAACCAGTATCTACTCAGAAGTTTGAAATCTGTGATTTCTTGTTTTACATGTTGTCGTTCTCCTGATCTTGTCATTATTCTACATCATAGACAATTCCAACTCTAGATTGGATGTTTGGAGTAACATCTATTGCTCACAGTTGTGCTCTACATTTTGTGAATGATGATAAGTAGAGAGGTGGTAAAATCGTACAGACTGTGTACCAATGGAAATAATGTGACCATCCACATTTTACTGGGGATAGAGTGGCAATTTCTTGACGTGGAATTGAAGGCTCCATCAAAGTGCTGCTTGTTACGTATGACTGAAAAGCAATAACGGTATATTAGTCAAGTCAGGGGAAAAAAACTGAAGATTTGCATACTTGTATTTTGGATAGCTTTATTCTTAATAGTGAACACCTAATGAATACTTATCATACAGGTGTACATAAAAGGCTATGTTGTTGTAATTGGCGCTTTATTTTGGAAAGGTGGAAGAAAATCATAAGGCCCATATTTTCTTCAAGAGAACTGGCCAAAAACTGACATGGGAAGAAATTTCACACATTGTCCCCCCTGATGCTTCATCCTCATGGTCCATCCAATACACGTATTGTTCAACCTTTTTTTTTGTCAACAGCGTTGTACAATTTGTATGTTCCTAGTACCTAAGCCATCTACATTGTGTTGCTCTTTGGTCATTGTCTTCTTTATAAAGTGGAACAATATTTGAATGTATATTTTATTGTTCAATGTGCCTTTTTCTTGCTTACATGTTTATTTGGAATAGAATAAAAGAGATATTGCTCATTGTTATTGACTGTAGTTGTGAATTATTAATGAATGTTCACAAATAACGTCACAGATAACATAGCTTGAATTTTTGGGAGTGTCAAACAATAGATCCTGGCTGTCCATCAAAATTAAGAGATCAACCAATAAGGAAAATGGATGCACCTCAGTCAGATCTTTGTTTTTCACCATCTCATCAAATTAGCATAAATTTTGAATATTTAATCATAGAAATTATATATAATTATTATGTTATTAATATATTATGTTATTAATGTTAGAAAGTACTATTACTAAACATAAATTTCAGATGTTCAAACCCAAATTACTGAATTTTCCAAATACTACCTGTCAGAAACCCATTGCCAGGGCAACACGAAAATTCATAAGCTTATCTAATTAATATGAAATCTGTTTGAACATCTGAAATTGTTCCCATATATATTTGAGGTCACCAACTTTTCTGTTGTAGCGCAAGCTGTTCAGGCGCTATCTGAGATGAAAGTTGGCACAGGCCTCAAAAGCTAACGTCCCCCCCCCGGTATATGAATAGGTTAAAAGAAGAGGAGAACAACAAGCTCAACAATCAAGTAATACATTTTATTTGCACTCTCTATAGGTGGTAATATTCCCTCAAAGTGAGAAGTCATCAGGAATTGTCTAGCCCTGCCTGTCATCACATGTAATTCAAATTGTGTGGATATAATCAGTCAGAGATCAACATTACAAAGTATAACATACATGTACCTTACAATGACCCGCAGAAGTGCTTTGTTGGAGTTTGATATACCGTCTAGAATCTCATGCAACTGATTGGATATTTAATTAAGCTGCAATATGATGCAGCCTTAGGATAAAGATGTCCTTAGGATAAATATTTAGTGGGTGCAACAGCCCCGAAAGTAAACACCAAAGCATGTAGGCTATGCTAATACAGATTTCTCAATACTAAACAACCCAACAATGACAGTGACAATCATAACATGAAAGTGACAATGAGAAGTACATCAATAGCCTGACATGCACAATGTCATTCACATTAGCCTTTTTTTTCATTTAAGCCGGAGAAAATGTTGATTTCTGGTTCTGGGGTAAAACAGAATTTTTCAGTCTGTAACAATACTCTATGGCTGTACAATCAATAATTACATATCAATACCAAGGAGTGGTTTCCAAAATCATAGTCTGTGGTGATTTGTCTCTGCACTGCCAGATTACATGCAAACAGCACCAAATGATGCCCACATGACAGACATGACTACAGGAAGTACATTAAAGTGGCTTTCTGTAATGATTCAATAATACTTAAAAAGAGCTATATATACAAAGAAAAGCAAGTCTAAATACTGACATGTTGCGAGTAGTCTGCCACAAAATCAAGACTAATAAAATCTCTATATTTATTTTATATAACACTAAGTATTGATATGCTAACACTACATTGCCAATATATATATTCATTTATATACATAAAAAAGATGACCACATTATGTTACAATAAATTTGGCTAAGCTAACAAACAGTATGTAGCTTGTCAACAAATTGGTCTTTGCTGCCCTTTCAGAAATACATATCATTGCATTATCTTCTTTTATCCCTTGCATCTACTGTAAACCATCATAATTCTATATGTAAACATTATATAATTTTTACCTGCTTAAGCAAGTGTGGCATTGAAATAAAAGAAAAAATATTCAAGTACAGTCACTTCAAATAAATATACATTTGAAATAATGTATCTTATCGTGGTGTATGAAGCTAGTGGGCATTTTTCCAGACTACAAAAGAGCCAGAACATTGTATCATAACCTCTGCTTTGTCAGTCTTGTATCAATCACTTGTTTCAATCAGTGTTTATGTCAATTATAGGCTCTATGGTTATTGGCCATGGCTTTACGAACACAATACATGTCAGTGATTTCTGTGATGACTTCTGGGTGTCATAAAGTCGTAAGTTCTCCAGATAAAAAAATCAGGAAAAAAAATGTAAAACTGCAAATTGAAGGCAATGTATAACTGCACATTCAAGAGGAGCCTCATTGAACAGTAAAAGCAAAATATTCTGGATTTTCTGATATCAACTGATACCTAACATTAGATTCACAATAATTAGACGGAAACATCTGACACTCGTGATATACAAAAAGGCTACAAAATTCAACTGTCACCTGTGCCAGCAGTCATACTAAAAATAATTTCCATATCGCATACATGTACATCATGCACATCAAGCCAAATGGAATAGTTATGACAATCATTATTATTGCCGTGGAACAATAAAAAACTTAAAAACAATTGAAAACACATCTGCTCTCTTCAATCAGTATTGCAGCTGTACGTGTACATATGTAGGTGATCAAACATACAAAATCTCACACATCTACACACTTGGATATTCTCTGTTTCTCTTCAAGCAATTGCTTTTAAATCATTGCTAAAAACACAACTACAAGGTAAAGTAGTAGCTTACTATAACTGGCTTTTGAAAGCAATGTCCCATTTATCCATGGTCATCAGATTTTGACAATTATAAAAGCTAAAACTTGACACATGTGAATGTATTGTCTGCTATATGACCATTGAAACAACAGAACAACCATCTGGAATGTATAAGCACCAATCATGTGTTACACTTTCAGCAGCTTATCTCTGGCTACAAAAACTTCTTCCTTCATGTACATACAGTAGTTACATACATTTGTATTTACAAGATACAAAAAAGGTGCTCAAAATCCAAGTATCTGCAAAGTTCTGTCGATTCGTCTTACAAAAAACAGACCTGATAAAACAGCCTTTTCTACTTCTCTAAAATTCTCAACACTCAATATTTCTTAGCCACGAACATGTACAAAAAAATGAGTTCTTGTAGAAACAGTGACCCTCTCATTACATGTACATCTTGAATCCATGCATACAATCTAAATATCATATTCTTTACACCAAAACTCCTGTTGGCACATCTAAAGAGAAAAATACAAATAAAACCTCTGTCATCAGAAACTGGTTTCTCAAAAAACAGGTAGCCTTGGACTTTTTTTATTCAAACTCTGGGCCTTGCCAAATAACA